GTAAATCGGGAACCTGAAGGGAATATTCTAAAAGCAACTCATGTAAACACCATAATCATAATATTGGCTTATTTAGAATAAGGTAAATAATTAGATTACTGATGTCCATGTAAACGTAGTCAGTGTCGCAAACTGATTCCAAAGTAATCCTGTTCTGAGCTCGGACCAGTTTGCTTGCACTGCGCTGCACTCAATTATTGGTCCGAGGCGGTCTGCGCTGCTCAGCTCAAACGAATAGCGCGGTTTCGTTACACTTGTTTCATTGGATGTTTCTCATATGCAACAGAATTGGCAGGGCTTATGAGTTGGGCAACGCGGTGGTCGCGCCAGTGTGAGTGCTCACAAAATTTAGTCGCACCGGCAGAAAAAATGGTCGCAGTCTGGAGCCCTGCGTTACCTAAGGTTAACTAATGAGACATTATTGTAAAATGTTAACAAGTTTTGTTTTAGCTTAGGGTTAGCTTGGCGTTAGTATAATTAGCTGTCCACAAATCTGGTCTGTCAGTGTTCTTATTTAGATTGCTAAGTAAACGTATGTGTGTCAGTGGTTGGAATTTCTTCTACATTTGTGAACACATAAAGAAACCTTTTGTGTGTGTGTGTGTGTGTGTGTGTGTGTTTCTTGCTCTATACCACCCCCAACAGGCAAAGGCAAGATTTTCTTATTCAGACATGCACAGACACACGCAGAGTACATAACATATTCACGTGCCTGTATGTGAAATCCACTGACGTCTGGTATATCACTCCCTGTATTGTCTGAATCAATGTGCCCTTAGAGCCAAATGGAGCTCTTTGACTCACAGCAATTTCAAAGCTTTCGAGCACAGCTGAATCAGCTCAGAAAAGACAAGTGAGAACCAGGGTGTTGGTGGGTGTGCTGGTGTTCCCCTATTATGCCAGCTCAATGTTTGCATTAACTAGGAGATGAGGAATTCCTCAACATAATTAAATCAAGGTTTGCAGCAGGCAGATACACACACACACAAGTGGTATTGCACTACAGTCACACAAGTACAGTATAGAGTATTTGAGGCAAACTGACCTGTAGTCTTACACATACATTTCTGCGTCATTCATTTGCTCTCATCCTGGCAGCTTACCGTTCAGGTGATCCTTCCTGGTAAAGCTGCCAAAAAAAGATCCCACTTCTGTGAGACATCCTTTTTTTTCTATAAATAGCAGAGCTGATGGTTGAGATACTTGCTCAAAATCTAGTGATGTGCCAGTGGAGGCAGCATTTGAATTGATGCTGCCTTATAAATTTCATGTTTTAACCAAATTCAGAGGCAGAATTGCATGAATTTTTTATGACAAGAATATATTATTGTGAGTATGGTTGGGAACTGAGAACCGTTCCATTTTTTTAAAAGAAGAGTTTTTGTCACTAAAAAGTTTTGGTGCTACATACGCCATGTGACCTGTAAATGCGAAAAAGCCGTTTCCATTGCAGTTTTGCGAATTAATCCTTTTTCGCATTGCCTGAAAAACCACCTCATGCGAGCGTAAAAACTTTTTTGCGATATATGGCCGTTTTTGCGAATTTGACGCGTTTCCATTAGGCGTATTTTCAATTCGCACTTTCAATTTGCGCAATTTGAAGGGTAATGGAAACGCGCCTACTGAAGTCTGGAGTACAGCTTTGTCATCGCCTGAATAAATTACGTTTTAAATATTTTAAAATAGAAAATGGTTATTTTAAATTGTAATTTTATTTATTTATTTTTTCATTTTTGAATTGTAATTTTTTTTTTAATACAGCCTTGGTAAGCATAAAAGACTTCTTTCAAAAACATTAAAATTCTTACCAACCCCAAACTTTTAAACAGCAGTGTATTAATTCAAAAATGTATTATTTTACTTATTATTAGTATTTTTATTATTAGTTTGTGTTATGTATGTTTTCCTATAGCATTAGCAGATCTAAGCTTTTAGCGTGCAATGAATTTATTTTGTAATTTTGATAACAATTCCAGACCCGCCTGTGTGGAATTCTCTGCTGAATGGAGAAAGGAAAAGCTCCTCCTCTTTTTGTTGCTTGCAGGTTCCACTTCAAAGAATGTTAGTAGCATCCCAGCACTTAGCCTTGAAAATTACAGCCCGGAGATACGTGGCCTATGCCTCATCTTTCATCAGTGTGATTGCACATAAGTGGGTAATGTTCACACTGGCTGCAATGGCACTGGCTCTCTGATATATGCTCTGGCTTGACTCTCACTAGAAGTACCAGAGTTCACATAAAAACAAATAGTTGTGATTAGGGATGCACCGAAATGAAAATTCTAGGCCGAAGCCGAACAAAATGAAACACTGAGCCGAAGGCCGAATACCGAATACCGAACACGGTTTTTCAAATTTTTCCCTTATGTAGGCCTATTTTGCCATTTTTTTCACAATTGCATTAATTAAATTGCCAAAATGTGCTTTTTACTGTTTTGTCCTGCTTTTCAAATAAAAAATCAAATTACAAAACAACAATTAAAAAATATTTACTTAACACTGAACATTGTTTTACCATTCTAGCAGACATTATATCAACAAAGCACAATTTAGCTTAAAATTATTAAGTTAGTAAAATAATATTTTTGACCATTTTTGAGACTTGAATCAAGTCTCATGCCTTTAAAAAAAAATTCACAAAAGTGTTACTAAGCAACTGACGAGTAGCACAGTTTTAGCGCAGATTTTCCTCGCGCTTTGGACTTTGAACCCTGGCACCACGAACTCGTGCAGCACTGTCAGAATACATGCAATTAATTTTGCGATTTCAATCATCATACAGTAACTTAACCCCCAGCATTAGCCACCTCTTCTTCTCATCGGAGACTTGATGCAGCACTAAGTCTCTCGCTGTCGGTGCTTCATGCTTGTAATGATTTCTGCATCTTTCTCTGATAGTTTTAAATACTTTCACACTGTCCACATGTTTGCTGCATTAGCGCGTGCCTCTATTTGATCGCGTTTGTCATTGTTTGGTTCATATTATTCGGCCTTTTCGCTTATTCGCTATATTTTCTGCCGAATGATTTCGGTTGCCGAATATTCGGTGCATCCCTAGCTGTGATATATGCAGCATATGTAATATGTGATTGATATATATATATATATATATATATATATATATAATATATATAAATTGTGTAGCCTATAGCTCCAGTTGCAGTGGGAGTGCTGGCTATCTTGGACAGGCTGTAAAAGAGTCTGAATGTGAAAGCTTGTAAAAGGTAGCAAAAGGTAAATGCTCAGAGCGGCAGGCATGCTAAACTTACAGTGTCAACATTGGGTGAGGAGAAACCTTAACCTGATCAGGATGTAGTCATCATTCTGGCAGTAGCATAAAGGTGTGAGAAGAATCTGTTCTGGGATCAGCAGGAAATAATTCACTTTGTACTGACAGTACACACTCAGCTACTGTCACCCACTGTTGATTTATTACTATTGGATCATAGCAGTCATAGATTTGTGCTTGAACATTTGTAGAAGCTCTGTGAGACCCTCACACACAAGCCCTGAAGGACCTGTTGAAGCAGTGTCCTGAGGTAGGCAGGTGCTGGGGCTTGCCAGAGAAGGGTGTAGAGCTTCTCTCCAGCTCTGCATGCCTTCAGTGAGCGTGCCCAGACTTCCGCGTATGATGTAATGTGCCTGTGGGCAGCTTTGTCAGTTTCAGAAGTCCAAAATGACTCGGTTGATTTACATTTACATTTAGTCATTTTGCAGACGCTTTTATCCAAAGCGACTTACAATTGGGGGATACATAAAGGGATTCTTCTTAAAGAGGCAAACAGATACAGAAAGTGCTTGTAATACCAAGTTTCTAGACATTTTTCAAATAAGTACAAGCTAGAAAGAGAAGGAATAAGTAAAGAGATATAATTTTTTTGTATTTTATATATTTATTTATTTATTTTTATGATGAAGTCAAGTAGCTTCGAAAGAGATGAGTTTTCAGCTGTCGCTTGAAAATTGTCAGAAATTCCCCCCTTGCATTTCGTCATTATATATTTCCCAAGTGTCAAGCAAGTCACTGATAAACATACACAAGCAATTATGAGTAGGCTTCAGTATTTTCTGTGATGTCATCAAGTTCATTCTGGTGTTTGAAGTATGTTGTGTGCATTAGGATTTTTGTTTAACTTGGATGACATCAGACATGTGTAGGTCAGGGTCTGTCAGTGGGAGGCCTGGGGTTTTAGGAGACCATCAAAACCAAATGTATATGAACTTGATAGAAAATGAATGGGGGTTGTTTGGTCTGAGGTAAACTGTGAAGTACTGAGAGTTTAAACACAGCTGTGAGAATGGACACATATAACCGGCAGACCCTAAAGGAAGGAGTGTAGGAGCCCAGCATGTTTTGTAGGGGGTCTGTTTAGAAAACTGCAGAAACAAGGATAAAAGGTGAAGGATAAAATAAAGGAACTCAAAACATGTGCATGCCAAGATGTCTGTACACTTTCTTCATGTTCATCTGGGTAGAACGCACAAAAAGCAAGGCATTTCCTGTTGATTGTTGGGACGACATTCTGCAGCTGGATTTGTGATGTTCGAAATTTAGGTTTTATTGATGTAAATCTAGCCGTTTTAAGATGTTAATTAGAAGTTTGTACAGGAATAGTACGTTATAAAAGGAACACAATGACAAACATTCTAGTTTACACACTCTTTCGTAGGCACCTCGTCTGCTGTCATGTAAATATAAACCTTGTTCACGTCTTGCATTATTGATGAGTTGTGTATAATTATACTTTTAAAATAATTCCTCTAACCCTGATATTTGGTCTCCCTGTCAGACCTTGTTCCGTGTTTTGTGTGTGTCTTGCTCCCCATGTGCCTTTATATGCCCTTATTTGGTTAGTTTCCTGTTCCTGTCCTGATTAAGTTGATTTCTTCCCAGGTGTTTCCCATGTTTAATTTCCATTGATCCCAGGTGTGTCTTTTCAGCCCATCTTCCTGTTCTGTGTATTTAAAGTGTTCCCAGTCCCTAATACTTTGTCCGCTGTTAAACGTCTTCCTGAGTTCGTCTCCCTTGGTTCATGGAAATAAAGTCTTGTTAAAGTATTCTCCAACGTCTCCTCGTTCCGCGTGCGTCTGTGCGTCTGTGCGTGTGTGCGTGCGTGTGTGCGTGTGTGTGTGTGTGTGTGTGTGTGTGTGTGCGTGCGCCAGTTGCAGTTAGTAACTGAATTTGTCATCTTCATTAAATGCCTTATGTATTGTAACTTTTCATTACATATACACTACAGTTGTAAAGTTTAATATTTGATAAAAGGCAGTAATACTGTGAAATAACATTACATTTTAAAACAACAGTTTTATATTTGAATATGTAATTCATTCCTATGGGGAAGAGCACCAACCGACGAACAGGTTCCACTTCAGCCTGTAAGCGTGTCTGGTAGACAGGGCTCTAGCTGAAGTGAAGGTGTTTACTACCGCTGGAGGTAGTTGGCCTGCGCCCCCAGGAACCAATCATCCAGCCTCAAGCGTTCGGGGGAAGGCGGAGGCCTTCATATAATGCAGATAAAATGCTTGAATCATTGCAAAAAATGTGTTTATGTATATATATTCTGTTTATGTATATACTGTATTCTATATATAGTACCAGTCAAATGTTTGGACACACGAATGGGAAAGTGTCCAAACTTTTGACTGGTACTGTACTATAATATACAAAGAATATCGGCCGATATATCGTCATCAACCTTTTTTTAACTCCCTAATATCGGTATCGGTATTGGCCCCAAAAAACCATATCGGTCGGGCTCTAGTTAAAATGACCAAATGTAAATGTTTGAGGAGCTTGTTTATCTAATTCTACCAGTCAAATTACAAGAATATCTTTGCATCTTCTTATATTATTATTATTATTATTATTATTAGACAGTGTAGGGAAACAATTTTAGAAAAAATAGAAATACACAGAAATATAATAATAGAAAACACATTTTTGTATTTCTGTTTCAGCCTCATATTCTTATGTTTTGTACAGTCTTCACAAAATCTTTCATTCTTTGGCTTCCAGGATTGTTTTGCGTATGTGTCTGCCTTTTTCCGCAGTCAGACTAAGGTCACTAGGCTGTATTTGGTCAGGATTTGTCTTGCGTGATATATGATCCACCAAACCCCCCCCCCCCCCCCCCCCCCCCCCCAGTCACTACTTCTATCTGAATCCCTCTCTGCAGATTTTCTGGCCTGTTTCTGTCAGAGCAATTAGTGGTAAACAAGAGATCAGTTGAAGAGAGGCGAGGCCTGTCCAGGGCAGTCCTGGCTTTCTAACCTACTTGTTTCCTCTCATGTACCCCCATTTTTTTCATATGTACGCATTCTCTTACCCTTGCATTCACTCTCTTTATATCCCTCCATTATTTGCCTGAGCCAAAACCTCACAGAAAAAATGTGGTCACAAGTTGGAAAAGAAGTAGGCTTTGTGGAGTCATGTGATGTTCTGAGTGAGGTTTCACAGGGGGCCTTACATCACCTACAGACACACACACACACATACATACATACACAGACGCTGTACACACATGCCCTTTGTGATTGGTTATCAGTTTAAGACCTTTGAGGTTTTTTTCTAGATGGCTCCCCCCCCCCCCCCCCCCCAAAAAAAAATGCATAGATAAGTTTTTTTAAGTAATTAATACTTTTATTCATTTAGTGCATTAAATTGATCATCGTCATTAAATGCATTTACTGTATAATTTAATATATCATTAAAGGCACTTATTCTAAATAAAATCTGTTTATAGTGGAGAAATGGGTGCTGCAAATTCAGCATTACCATCACAAGGATAAATTACATTTTAAAATATATTCAAATAGAAAACTGTTATTTTAAATTGTAATAATATTTCACAATATTACTGTTTTTACTGTATTTTTTGATCAAATAATTGCAGCATTGGTTAGCATAAACGGCTTCTTAAAGAAAAAAAAACTTTTACCAACCCCAAACTTTTGAAGCATACATTTGGTAGTAATGAAATTAGAGTCAAATACTGTATGTTGGGAGCTTTCAGAGAAAAAAAACAGCATTGGAAAGACATAGATGATTGGGAAAGGTGAAACAAGCATGCTTTGGAATGTGATCTCAGCATGGGGCGAGGGGACAATAGAGCTCATATGTATCTCTGTGTGTGTGTGTGTGAGCGCTCTATAGTAAGAAGGTTTAGGTTTAGCAATTGGGATGTATAGGGTAACTAAGAGACTTTGCCAGTATGAATGGAATGACCTCTAGTTCCTGTCTTCCTCTTTTTTATTTTTTGTGAAGTAGATCTTTTGGTATGCTGTACCAGAGGCTAAAATCCAGAGCAGGGTTTTGTCTTTTGTTCCTCTGTGAGATCACATACATTTTTCTGCTGTCCAGGTGATCTTCACTAGCCTGCGGGGAGACAAACAGATCAATCCTTGACTGAAAGTCACTTTCACAAACTATGCTACAACTTGTTGCTGTTACACACATTCACAAATACTGAGAAGTAATAGATGCTCATATAATTTCATTGGAGTTTTGAAAAGAGAATGTACATTGATGGATGATGTAACCTCTGTTTAACTTCTCAGTCATTTCAGAGTACAGTTGTCTTTGTACTGTACTGACATTGACAGTAGTACAGGATTTAATCTTGTCTTTCTGTGTCTTTTTGTGTGTTCAGGGATCAAAGCTTCAGGAGCCGTGTGCAGGCCGGGACTGCAGTGGACCATGCCCGTGTTTGCCCTTAAAGGGTAGCAGGGTGAGTAATGAGCATCTCTGTTTGCCAGTGTTGAGACTGTTCGTAACACGCTCTTGACCTCATCCAGTATATCATACACAGTGTTGGGGAAGCTACTCTGAAACTGTAGCTTGACCAGCTACAAGCTACTCGTAAATTAAAGTAGTTAAGCTACATTCAAGCTACCCTTCTGAAAAATTGAATAACTATTTAACTATACAGTATTTTATTATTGTATCGAATAGTTTACAAAATCAAATGTTTGGGACACTTTT